TAGTAAAATCGGTCACACTATTCTTTACTGGGAAAAGTAAAATTACAGTATCACTGCCCAACACGTTACCACTGATGCGCGAGAGCGACTGTGTTACACACTGCGCAGGTGTGGAATTGGCAGCTGAACGCAAACGAACATCCTTGTTGATACCTGAAAAGGAAGAAAACTTTACACACGTCAGCCTGTAGATGTCCTCAAATCTTTTCCATTTCACTCGGCCAGCCCCCTCCCCCCAGATCTGCATGATTCACGCGAGTCGGAATTCCGGATTAATCCGGAAAAAATCACATCCCTGGATAAGACAAAACAAAACAAGATATCAGTTCTGTTGCTGAGATTGAATCCTGCAGTGATTTCCATCTTGTTGCCATGAGCACCAGTAGCAGCCAGCTGGACATGACGGCCAACAGCCTCCCCCCTCCATCCATCTTTTTTCATCATCTCTCTCTCCCCCCTCATCGCCATCTGCCCTCTGTCTTTCTGCCTGCTCTCCCTCACCCCATACCCCCCCCCCCCCCCTTTGCCACCCATTCCTCTACTGCCCATCATCATCTTTTTGTTCATCTTTTACCTCCTTCTAATCTGAAATCTGTTTTGGCCCACAATTTCACGCACTTTCCCCCATTTCGAACATCACTTCCATCAATTTCTGACTCGTCACCCCTCCTCCTCCTCCTCCACCCTATGTCTCTCTATCCATAATACAATGTATGGGAATGAAACTGAGCAGCAGAACTGGTGGAAATGACCTCTTCAATAATTCATCACATCTGAGTAGACTCGCTGTCCGCAGGTCGAACAAGCTTAAGACACAAAGAGACCAATGTGCTATACACCTGTCAATGCTCCTTAGCATCAGTCATGTTTCTTTGAATTGTAGGCTTTTTTGTGATGTTTTAAAACTCTTAAGAAACAATACCACGGAGTGATTTTTCCTCTTCAATCGTGAAGAGATTAAACGCCTTCAAAATTAAATTCAAAGATCAGCAAAAACTCAAAAAAGTCTAAATTGGGTAGCAGCAATGTTTTTTGTTCTTCTCGCCCACCTTCTTTCTCATCTTGCAAACTGATTCTGATTCCTTGTTGGAGGGTCTCGATCCCCAGATTGGGTAAAACTGCTCTCCAGTATATCCCACCTGTAACCTGCATCCTAATTGGTGAGTGGGCCTGATAAAGCTCAGGCTTGCACTTTAAATTATTTCGAAAATGAAATTTTAAGTGAGTCTGCAAGTTAACCTGCCATCACTTCTATATGTAATTTTATATCATGATATCAGTATATATTGGGGTGGTGATGGCGCAATGGATAAGTCGCCTGCCTTTGGTGTGAGAGACCCGGGTGAGAGACCCGGGTTCAATCCCCCACTGTGTCCCTGAGCAAGACACTTAACCCCTAGTTGCTCCAGAGGCGTGCGACCTCTGACATGTATAGCAATTGTAAGTCGCTTTGGATAAAAGCGTCAGCTAAATGAATAAATGTAAATATATTGTGATACAGTAAATATCCTAGTAAATTTACTGAGAAACAGTTTGTAGATAATTAACGCTGGTAATTTATTTCAGAAGCATTGTTGTTATATTTGTTAAATTATCTCTACATCCCGACAACAAGCAATAAATCACATGAATTTAAAAACAATCCGGTTTCTGTGGCTGTCACAGGACTTCAGGCCAATTGAAATAATTGGCTGGCCTACCTGCACACACTCGGTCAGCGTGTGAAAATGTGTTTTTAGGAGAATGGCTTTGGAGGGAGGCCTGAAGGGAGGGGGTGGGATTGTTTTGGTTGCATACTTTCAGAATCTAGCCATCTCTTGCTTAACCTCCGCTTTAATACCCAAAAACCTTAAAAAATTTTACATTTAAAAAATTTTCCCAGCCGGAGATATTAAAAAGGACAACATGCACCTACAGCATTGAAAATTCTACTATGGTTGGCAAATCTGTATCATCTCACAGTGTAGATCATCATATCACCAAACTCCAATTGGGCCAAGAGTTGAGTTTTTTTTAAATTATTTTATTAATAATAATGCAAAAAGTAAGTACTGCTTGTTATTGTGGGTCAGTGGTTTGAGGAGCCAACCCTGTCCCCTAGAAATGAGTAATGTGTAATGATGAATGAACAACTATTTGCAACAGAAAACATGTTTTGAAGGAAACGTAAAGCAGAACGGATTACGTTTTCTATAAACATGATGAGGACATGTTGTTAATCAACATATCTGGCAAATTGCAAAAATGTTGACAATCAGTAAAATGTTTACTGGCAAAGTATTTCATTTGTTTTATGACACAATATCAGATCTTACAATCCAATATCAGCTTGTAACAACTACTGCATTATTAAACCCTTTACGGTTTAAGTAGGCACGCACTGTATTAAGCCAGTTCACCGTGATCTGACTTAATACAGAAAAGGTCTGCAAAGCACTTCTAGCATGAAACAAAACGTGTTTATGATTTAACCCAAGCTAATAACCAAAGTGCTTTTGTTGCCTAAATGTAACAACAGACAGGACTCTGGATGTGAACCCCGCTCTCTGGTGTCAAAGTCCTGCCCTTTTAGTCCACCATCATGCCAATCCATTGTGGTAGATAAAAGCTGGGCTTCATTCACAAAAACATGTTGAGCATAATTCAGGCAGCGATCATGTTTGTCAGCACAATTTAATTGGGAAAACAATTAGTACGTTGTACAATACTATAGTACTGAGGAGCTCAGTGGAGGAGGGAGGAGGGGACGGTGGGGGGTGTGGCTCCACAAACCTCTAATTGTCCCAACTGTTGCTGAAAGAAGCCAATAATTCTACACACTGCCCCCCCCCCCCCCACACACACACACAGTCAATTACAGAGCGGCTGTGACCCACAGCCCTAGAATCATCGCAGCGTTGACTGATTATTTCCTCGGCTACTTTTGTCATTGTGACAGCAAGTCGCCTCGACAGGAAGCTGGCCCACATCCCACACACACACACACACACACACACACACACACACACACACACACACACACACACACACGAGCTGCCCATCAAGGCTTCATTTAATCAATCCAGGAAGCGACCTCTATTGATGTAGCAGTCCAGCGAACGGGAAGCCAGCCACCTCTGATTATTTGTCAATGATTGAAAAGTAGAAATCAATACAAAACATGCAAACTGCCCCACAACAATAACAACACAGATCACTGCTCCGGCTGTCTCTGTGACTGAGGGGTCACAAATCACGGAGTCAGAGTCGATCAGCAGTCTGAGGGCCTTTCCGAAACTGCGTGCTACTCCCTCTCCCTACCTACTTCCACTCCGTTTGCACGTTCACGCGGAGGGTCCGCCACACTGAGGGCCATCCGAAAACAAATGAGGGCGGAGTGGGTTGTTAAAACCCTCAAATGCTGAGTGAGCACCGATGCCGGCTTGTTGCTGCACGACGGGGGACCTTTCTTTCAAATGTGAGATCGCTGGTTAACATGTGGGATTTTAAATTCAGAAACTACACTAACATTTCATATCACCATTCACAGATTAACACAGGCTGTATTGTGTTTAATAAAAAAAATGCTCTTGTCTGATAGAAAATACAACTGTTGTTTTTATTGAACCGTATTAATACGAAAATTTTCATCCAAAACTAAATTGCCTACATTAAACAACTGAATAGAACATGGCACAACTAAATACACAGGGGGATCACGTAACAAGCAACAAAGGCATTAAAGAAAAAGTCTTCATACAGTTTAACTGGTTTCAATTCTTCAGACTATATAATGCTTCAATATAATGTTTGATTTCTTTTGAAATGTTGTATTTGTGAATGTAGGCCTAATGTTTTTTAAAAAAGATAAAGATGTTCAAATAGGCCTTTCTTTCACAATGAATATCAATCTTTTCATAAAAGAATGCAATCAGTCAGTTTCGTTATTGCAACCAATCCTGATATTATATCAGTGAGTGCAGCGGTAACGTCAGATCCTATTTACACTGGGAGGAGAGGGTAGTTCGTCCAAAAGTTGGCCGCTGTATTTATACCCTATGTGGATTAGGGAGCTCGATTTGGCTGTGGGGAGGGGGGCTCCGACAACAGTTCCAGAGTGGAAATGGCGAGGGTCTAGGCTTCTCGAGCACGCCATGTTGTTTTTAGAGTGGCATCATTTCCTGTAGGCGTGGCCATCAGTATATTGGTTTGATAACAAGGAGTAATATAGAAGTATCTTTTGGCCGACATCACACAATGAGTGTGGCGACATTTTGAAATCACACTTATTTATTGATCGTTATTCATAAAAACAGTGTTAGTAAATTAATATAACAGTATATAGTTTAAAAAAGTGATCAAATAGGCCCAAACTGTTTGTTTTTTTTTACAGTAAAACTATCAAAATATAGAAAGTACTCGTTATTTTCCAAAATGTTTAGGCAAGTATGCAACACAAGATTTCTTGTCTCTGTCTACAGAACAAGATCATTTGAATTATGCTTCATTGCTGAATTATGCCCCCCCACCAATTCTTCATGCCATTCTTCTACTTCAGTGCAAAAATATAATAACAGCAGATGGACAATGAATTCAGGGTTTACTTCACAACATGTCTTGTATTTGCTCACACCATTCATCCAGTATATGATTCAATCCGTCACCTCCATCACTTGAACCAGGTGTGAGTTAATGGCATGGTGCTTATCATACAACAAAAAGTGGACTGACTTCTGTGAATGACACTACCAGCATCCGATGAGTAAAGCTTCTCGATTTGTGAGATGAACGAAGGACCGCAGAGTGCTTCAGCCGGCAATCTCAAAACCGGAGGCTGACAACAAACATCAGCAGCTAGCGTCTCACTCACCACAAGTCCAACAACGACTTCCATCATTTATTCAGCTTCGTCACCAAAAGTTTAATTTCTGCTGCAGCTTTTTGACGCGTTACCACACAAAGACGGACAACAGTAAAACAGTGCATGCACACCAACACAGACAGACGTGTTTCAAGCCTACCTCGGCTGTTGGTTGCCAGGTCGGCCACCTTCTGAAAGGCATCGAGGAAGGCTGCTACTGCGACAACGGTCGTCCTGGGAGACACAACAGAGGAGGTTTTGGATAGGGAGGATATATCCTACAAAATAGTATTTTAAAATCAGCTTCTATGTTACAGAAAATGTGTTCAGATTGTGGTTTTGGGTCCGCTAATTTGTTTTTTCTGTCCTACCATATGTTTCTTGTTATCACATCCTATTTTAATATCTGATTGAGCAAACTTGAACAAATGAGTTAGTCTACCTTGAGGTCTATATTTGAAATCGCTGCAATTTTACTTTTTATGTCGCAGTGAACTAAAAATCACAGTATGTGCCTTACGTTATAGCAGATGATTGGCTATAGAGGAAGGTACATGCAGTTTGTAAAGAGCAGGATAAATAAAACATGCAAAAGCAATAGTACGGCCGTTTAATCCCAGATACAGAAGCAGTGCCTAAAATGCCATGACACCTCATGGCGTGGCGAGGAAGAGAAGGCGGGACGCAGTCAAAGTGTTTGTAATAAGATTTGACCTCTGGTGACCTCTGGTCCAGTGCAGAATCTCTCTAGGCTGCTGCTGATCCATTTCACTGATAATGACTTTACGGTGGCATCATTAATCTCTGCCAGCCTCGGAAGGTTAATTGAGTTGTGTGTGTGTGTGTGTGTGTGTGTGTGTGTGTGTGTGTGTGTGTGTGTGTGTGTGTGTGTGTGTGTGTGTGTGTGTGTGTGTGTGTGTGTGTGAGAAAGTTTGTGGTTGGTTAATAGCTGCAGGGAGGTGAGTGTGTGTGCAAGCAAGTATGGAGGTATTCTTCATGATGAATGAATGTTTTAGTTTAGGTTTGCAACTTGTATGTGCACATTTCTCTCTCTCTGTGTGTGTGTGTGTGTGTGTGTGTGTGTGTGTGTGTGTGTGTGTGTGTGTGTGTGTGTGTGTGTGTGTGTGTGTGTGTGTGTGTGTGTGTGTGTAGGGCCAGTAAATCAGAGAGTCTGGGAAAAGGGCGACAGAACAGGAGAGGTGAGCTTGACATTTAAACACTTAATGAAACAGACTCATTGGATATTCATGAGCTCAGGTTGTACAGACTCTCATCATGTGTGTATTTGTGTGTACCACCTGTGCACAAATTTCCCTTTTAGCGTTTTGCCTATTGGGACGGCCAACAAGTAATACCATCAGTTTAACGTCAGTGGGGAAAATGAAAGAGCGTCCGTTTTAATATCCTGCAGAAAAACATGAACCTATCATCTGAAACATCCCCTGCAGGTTTCTAAAGAGTTGTTTTGAACCCTAGAATAAATTGTTGCATTGCAATTAATAGTGCAACAGAGCAATTGTTAATGTTATTATTATTCCCATCTGTGCTTTTCCTGCTATGAAAGATGTCAAAATGTCTGCTGCAAGAAAGGTCTATGAATCTGATTCTTTTGAAAACAATGACGTCTGTGTATCAGGATTCAGGTTAGCAATATTTCTTCAGAGAGTAAAAACAAGTAAAGTGAAAGATGGACAGACTTTCTGACCAGGAGAGACATTTTGTTGGCTTCCAAATAGTTGCATAGCAGATGGAGCTGAGGATCAAAAACTGAATTTTTAAACATAAGATTTGTATGTTGCTTCTTTTTTGTCACTGCATATTAAGACGTATTAGGCTGTTATAATGTGTGTGATGATCAGGTCTATGATTGTACATGAAGTTACACGTGTAGGATGAATAATATGTCTGGTGGCAGAGGGTGATTTACACACTGCAGTTTGAGAAAGCACAAGTAAATATAGGGACACTAAAAATTGATGAATGTTTCAAAACTAATAATAATAACAATGATTTTATTTATTTATTTTCATTGTGTGATTTCAGGATTATTGGAGAGATTACCCCTTTCTGTATTTGGCTCATTTCTTTCTAATCTGTTTTGTTGTTTGTAAATATATTTCTTTTTCTGTTTTACCCATATAAAGTGTTATTTTAAATGCGAGGCATGTGCTGTCAAAGTGGTTTCTTCCTTTGCTTGTTTTGTCTGTTACTTGCATTCGATTTCTGGCATTAGGCTTAGTTACCTGAGCTGTGATTGTAGTTTGCTGGCCTTGCTGATGAAGTCATCCCAGACAGGGTAACTGCCCTGAGGAGAAAAAACAAACAAAATCAGATTTTTTTTATTTATTTATTAATATCAAAAACAACCTTTTCCTTCATAGCTGCAACTTGAAATCACACACAGAGATTTAGGAGTAAACAATCTTATTGTGTTGCTATAATTATAAACTTTTTTGTGACCTAAAATACTCAGTAGTCAGTAGTAAGGTCAGTATCGTGCTGATAAAGATCCACTTTATCAGGTCAGTGTGTGTCCGTTATGGGGCCTTAAGGTCCGACACTTTTAAAAAACAAACACCACAGGTATTAGACTGCCGATATCTCCATCATGCTATCATTTGTTCGCAGTAAGTCTTTCCTGAACAGTTTCTCAAACGTGCACACAGTTTGGGTTTTTATTTCCCTTCATATTACCCGGCCTCAAATATATACGTATTCAACTATAAAAACACCCAAAGCAAATTCCTCCCCATTAAAAGTTCGGCCACACATCCTCGGGCTCAACCAAAAACACATAAATCCTGAGCATCAGGAGGAGCCGTGAGCCAACAGACAACAAGGAGACAGATCAATACTGCCGATCCATACGCCCCACCCAGCCCATCCAGAGGAAGCCAGACAAGCACCCCCCTAGGCATGCAAATACAGTTTGGGTCCCCGGACTGGATTTAATATGGAGACAGATACAAAGACTGAGAAGCCAAACGCTGCAGTGCGGTATTACTGGATGTGTGTTCAGAAAGTAGGCTGCATGGAGGGAAACACTGAGTTACTGCAGCCAAAGACAGAAGAAACTGGGGTACGCTTCCCGTCAGCAGGAGTCCCCTGATGTTTCAGGGTGGGTGGGGCTTTTCTAGTGCAGAGAAACATCTGAGGCCTCTTGACTCACAAAATTTAACACAGCACAATTAGGGTTGTGACGAGACCTCGAGCCAAACTGAAGCCCAAACTTGCTCCATTTGGGACTGCGAGCTGCACTTTATCAGAGTTAACATCTGTGTGGATTTGTAGCCTGATCAGAAGTGTAGTCGGTCAGTTTCATTTTCACATAAAAAATGTTATGAATTCTCATTAAATCATGACGTTATTCTCGTAATATTACGACAATTTTTCTCAACATTTCAGAGAACACATATGTGGGAGCGATTCTGAATGTGCAGAAAGTTTTACACATGAGCAGAAAACCTGCTGAGACACAGGAACTATTAAAGTCCAGGACTTTATAACAGAATTAAAATGAATTAATTTATCATTGCGGTGAAAAGGTGCCACATGCACATTTAAAAAGGTTGCTTTTACAAACGAAAGACACGAAAAAGCAGAGAAAACCAATGTAATATAATGGTTTGTCAATACACAAGAGACAGCTGCACTTTTCAGTCATCCATCTCAAGTGTGTCTGACAGAACGGTTACAATTGGAGTCACGTCTCAAGTCTCTGGGGTGTTATGTTGTACAGATGTGTGTGTTAAGGACAGGCTCAGATTTTGTCAAGTGTATTTAATACAGTTCTCACATGCAATTTGTACACTGTGGGAGTTATTGGTTGTTCATCGTAATGCTGTTCAGCAGATTTGTACAATTTCACAAATCAGTGTTTCCCCAGACAGACAAAAAAGTGGCAATAAATATGCATGTGACCACTAGGACTCGTATACATGCCTGATTTAGGTAACTCAGACGGCTGAATCATCTTATCAGCTTTAGCTAAACATTTAAAACGGCATCTTTGCGCAGAACGAGGACAGTGGATTTCAGCAGCGACTGACTCACTCAACATGCACATCATACGAGTATTGTACTGCATAGTTCTGTGACTCCTCTATGGCAGCTTATCACTGGAACTTAATGCAGGGCCTCATTTCAGCCTCCGTCTGAAACCTGCTGTAGAGGCTCCTGTGTCTTTAAGCCCCCCCGCCTAAAAAAAGCCAACTGTCTACTCAGCTCAGCTCCAACAAAATGTAGCAAAATAAATTTTTTAGCGGAAAAGGCTGTGCCTTGAACACACATGTGCACTGCATTTTCCTGTCCTTTTAACACAGCTGCGTTTACAAACGTGTCGCAGCTGATTGGGTAAAACCTCTGACACGCCCACCAAACAGGAGAAAACCGTTCAATCAGAAAAACGTGCAAAACGTTTTAAGATTAAACTCGCCACATGTTGACAGGAGCATGGGGCTGTGCATTCCTTTGTGGCCGGCCTGCTGTGCCTGGAGCAAATGACCATATATGAAAATCCTGCTCGGTATGACGTCATACTGAGCTGGTAGAAAAAAAAATGTTGAACACTCAGAACAGAAAAGGTGGAAATCTGAGGTTTTGGCTCACAGAGATTTCTTTTCAATACTTGTACCTCATAATTTGTTTAACATGAACATCTGACATTGAAACATTATAGATATGCCATAAAATATGGAAAAGCATAAAAAGTTCCCCCTGAGACAGACTTTTCCACCCTCCTGCAGAAAGCTGTCAGACGCGGGCGTTTCCTTTTGTCAGCGTCATCGTCGTTGCTCTCTTAGCAGCCCAGCTGAGCTGAGCGTGTTCGGCCTTGTTCTGTTTTGTGAGAGCGATGCCCAGCGTCACCGGGCTGGCTGCCGTTGCTATGGTAACGCTGCAGCTGCAGAGGGGCTTCAGACAGAGAAGGATTTGTGGGGAGGGGAGAGTCACACGTGCATTCATCCACACCCAAAACACACACACATTTTTTTTTTCCTGTGCCACACATTTGGTTTCTTTGTTTCTCTCTTTCATATTCAACATGCATATATTTTGTTCTCTCTCTCTTTCTCTCTCATGCACACTCTCATTTCATCATCCTGCTCTTTATTACTCATTCATCACTTCCTCTCTATTACACTGTATATATATATACCCACATCTCATTACATCCCCTCTCCCCTCTCTCTCTCTCCTCGCTCTCTCGGACACACAGCGAGGCGAGGGCAGGGCCGCAGCATCAATCAGTCATTGAGGACATAAATTGTCACCGTGGCAACAACCGGAGGCAGCAGGAGCCTGCAGGTCCTTCAGGAATCCTCTGCTCTGTTTGTTCGGCTCTGAGAGCGACAGCACGGGCTTAAAACCATGAAATCTGTTTGTTTCTTCTTTATCACTGAGGATAATAACACAAATCTGGTTCATGAAACTTCAGCACGACCATGTTTTTCTGTGACTGAGTATTTGCAGAAGTCCAGATTTCATTTTCTTTTGTGAAGCTTTTCATAAGGAAGAGCATTTATATTCTCTCTAAAAAAGGTCCCCAAAGCACCTTCATAATCACTGTGACCGTGGTTAAAACTCAGTGAGACACAATTTAGCATGTGTTCAGAGAACGTGGGCCAGCAGATGAATCCTTTTAAAAGGAATAGTTTGACATTTTAGGAACTTTGCACAAAAACTCAAGTGTAAAAACGTCAAGTTGTGGTTGTACGGTGGGTTTTTGTGCCAGACTATTGGTGGCAGTTGCCAGGAAACCAGATCTGACTCCAGAAAGTTTTGATGCTCACAGCCAACAAATAAGATGCCCCATAAAACAGCCGATTGTTGTTTTTAAATCTCTGTTTTTGTACACATTTAACAAACAAGATATAACGTCTTTCATTAGTGAGCTTTAGAGGTTCTGCTAGGCGAATTCTGTTACCTTTGTACAGAGCCAGACTAGCCGTTTCCCCCTGTTTCCAGTCCTAATGTTAAGCTAACCAGCTGCTGGCTGTAGTTTCATACACATACGTGTACAGACATGAGACTGATATTTCGGTCTTCTCATGTTTCCAAAAATATTGAGCTACTCCTTTAAAACATATAAAAGGAGTTTGCTGGCCTTTGCATTTCATTTAGCAGTTAGGAAACAACAAGTTAATGCATTATATTACCTGTAGATCAAGCTGTGCCACTCACTCAACCTTAAGGAACCAGAAAGAGGGCCTTTGTTGGGTTTGAGAATCTATAAATTTTAAATGCACCCTCCCTGAAAAACACTCCTAGTGGAAAAACTGAAATGATAAATCAATTTCCAGGAAAATTTCAGTTTGGATCCATTTCACAAAAATATTGATGTGTGAGTAAATAATAGAGCCCTAGAATATTTTGGCAAAAATACAAAAACTTTTGCTGAACCCAACCGAGTGTAACTCTAGAAATGTGTGGATTATTAGTATCATACACACAACAGTTGCTTTCACCTCTTAGAACCAGAAATACAGCACCTGACGCCAGAAAGGAAACACGTCAGAGCTACAACAGAGACCAGAGCAGACGTCAGCAGAAGAGTCAATGCCAATAAAAAGGCCTACAACAGAAAGAAAACGAAACAAAGTGACCCATTTGGCCCGAAGTACCAAAGCAGCTCTGGCTGTGATGTTTCCATGACAATCTCCAATCTGATACACAGCGGCCCCCCTCCCAAGATAAGAGACCAGGATTATTTTAGCTCAGAGGTGATTAAGACGACAGCTCAGTCCAAGATAAATGGTGATTAGCATTCAGTAACCTCAAAACCACACACACACACACACACACACACACACAGTCTCAGCACTTGAACGCTGTTTGTTTGGCAGCAGTAACAGGGTTAAGTTAGCATCAGCTGTTTTCACAGATGTTCAACACAGATCAGAGAACGTTTAGATTTATTTTGATGGGTTCAATGTTTACAGTGCTGCAATACATTACAATAACCTGTGCTTCCTGTATATTGTCTGACTCCCACAGGAAGAACTGGAAGTCTCTCATTGTTACTGGAACTCATTGTTAGCTGGGATGTTGCTAATTTCAAACTACAGTTGAGACATTTGTCTTTAAAAAATATATATATATAATTTATAATCTATCTATTTATTAAATTCAACATGCATTGCAATGATTCAAGTTACAGAGATATTCATTTCACCAATTCATCCATCTATTAGTCTTTGCAGGGGGTTACAATATGGTTGAGTCTCCTTGCTCTCACCAATCCTCCATTTAAACCACAGGCAGACATTTTAACCGCTGAACAAGCTCTGATAAACCCCCTGTAGACCGCCTGCTCAGCACCAAACAGCAGAAAGGCACAGTTGGAGACCAGCTGCAGAGAGTGGAGCATTTAGCGGTTTAATTCCTCAGGAGCTGGTGGAGACCAAACCACAGGAGAGCGGGTCCTGGACTTTACATCAGGTGCTGGAAAGTAGAGAATAGTTTCCTAAAATAATTAAACTATTAGTCTAATCAGAACAGAGGTTAGTCTTTCTATGGTCCAATCACACTTACTGTCCAATATCACTTACTGTACTTTTTAACATTGTAAAGACACTAATGTGAGCATGTTCCAAATCCACAGCAGTGAACCTTTTGTTCAGCGTCTATTCAACAACACTTTAAAAGACAGTTTATAGGCAGATGTGAAGATCACAGCAGAAGAGGATGAGCCAGTTTCTCCTCCAGGGAAAAACATGCAGATTGGTTCCACTTAAACGGATCAACAGTAATGTGTCTGCTTCAATTTAACCAGCACAATGATGTGTGGATGATGAACTGCACACAGCCAGACGCACTCACTTTAACAGATGAACACATATGGATAGACAACACACTGAGCGTAGGTGTAGCCAACCTGCAAAGAGGAAATGTATGTGGTGGTAAGGAATTGATTTCGGGGGGGGGGGGGGGGGGGGGGGGGGGGGAATCTCATGTCTCATCCGAGTGCAGTTACATCAAGCCCTTAACGAAAAGGGCTGCTGGACTACAAGGATTTAATATCAAAGTGCTTTCAACAGCAACACTAGAAGGTGTTGTAAAGTAATGTAGTCTCTTGTTTTGAGCATCTCTACAATGTCTACTGAAAAAAGATTAAGGGAAATTATTATTTTTTTGGTTATAATAAGCTTGTTTTGTGGGCTTTTCCAAGTAAAATACTTTTATGTTGCATGGCTTAAATTACAAAGATTTATTGTATTGATTATTGATGATTCTCTTCATTAACCGCTTCGGTCATTACCGTGTGACAATAGTGAAACTTTCCACGGTCACAATCTCCCAGAGCGCTAGTTGACGCCGTTAAAATGCTAGTTTCACCCAAACAACAGTGCAAAACCCCAGAATATTAAATTTCCTATCACGTAGACTGAGAAAACCAGCTAACTGAAACATTTGAGAACTCTGAACCGGTAGTAATTGAATAATCAACTAACCTTTTCAGCTCTATACTTTATGCTGAGTCACATCACACAAGAAGCACTAATGTATGTCCAAAGACATTAAACTTTCTCTTAATTACAGTAAATTAAATTATTTACTCACACATTTACAGTGGTGACAACCAGCTCTGATTTGCTTTAACTTGTGGCCTCAAATTTCCCTTTTCTACTGCAGGAATGTGATGCAACATAGCATGAAGCCGCTGTCATGATGAAACAAAAATTCTTCCAGGGGCAGAGCTGTCGATAATGATTGGTCGAGCAGATGTGTTGTCATATTACAACAAAGATGACTGTAATAAATAGGGATCAAACTAGAAATCTAGCACATGGTTTGAAACGTTCCTAGCCAGCTTGTGTCGGTCCCAGCAGGCCCCTAAATTCTCCATCAACGTATAAAATTGGATCCTACGTTTGCATAAACAGGAAAGAAAATCAATAACTATATCAGCAGCACTTAATTTGTTGTCTTTCCCCTCAATCACTTACTTTGCTTCCCTACCAATAAAAAGCAGTAGAAGGTCTAGCTTTTGCACCGTGAATGGCATATATCCAAAATGTTCCTGTTTGTAAAATAAACTGGGAAAACAAGAAACAACCAAGTACCAAAGGCTTACAGGTTCTGAGAAAGCCCCGTGTTGCGAGATGTTAAGTTCCTGCAGTGGGAAAGGGAGCTTAATTTTAGTTTCACATCTCATCTTTAAATGCCAAGAGAATAAAAAAAAAACAACAACTAACAACTTTATTATTCACAGACAAGCAGGCTTCTCAGCGTTCTCATCGTTTTCATTTTAGACAGACAAAACGTGTGCGTGTAAAAGACCATTAGAAGCAGAAGAGTCGGGTCTCCTCCACAGTGACACAGTAAAATCTCTCTCCGCCCACACTTTTATGCTAAGAGGGGAAAAGAGTCTGGCTCTCTGCGAGTCACACGTATGAATCAGGCAGACTGCAGTGAGGTGCATTTTATTAAATTAATTTAATTGAGGTTGATACACAATAGTAAATAAAGTAGCTACATTTAGCTTGTTCTTGATCTTTTCAAATGGTCGTCATTTTATCCCCTTTGTGGACTGAAACATACATTTATGAATAAAATATTAAACACAAGTCAATTCTGTTCAGACTCATGACGCAGCATCACTCACAGCTTAAATCTGCAGCGGCCATGTTGGTGAATACAACAGGTAGGCTAGGTGTGAAACATGCATATTTAGAGAAAGTGTGACAGCAACTGATTAATTTTGGTATCAACATGCATCACCAAGAAAACAAGCTTATAAACATGTTTTGGCGTTTTTCACCTTGCAAGAAAAATAAATACAAAACAGATGCATGAGAGATTAAGACTCACTTGAAAGGGGGGAAAAGGAAAATGGCAACGGGAGGGACACAAAGGAGAATGAATAAGAAGAAAGGAGTGCAAAATGAAAGGGAAAGATAAGGGACAGAACCGTAACATGGATGCTGAAAAGAAAAAAAAACAGTGATGGAGAGGGGGGAAAGGAGGCAGAGAAGAAAGACTAGAGAGGAGAAGAGGAAGCAAATAAGAAGAGGAGGAGAGGATAAGATGGAGAAGAAGTGGGACAAGAAAGAAGAAGGAAAAGGTGCAGGAGGACTGGAAGATGGCATGAGACAGAGGAAGCAGAGGAGGGCAAGGGAGGAAGTGTTTACTGTATGAATAAATGGACGACAGCAGGAGCAAGAAGAGGAGGCTCAGTGAAAAAGCAGGAGGATGAAGTAAGATAGGGAAGAAGCAGGAAGAAGAGAAGGGACATAACAAGGACGAGGTGAAGAGGGTGTGGCAGATTTCCCAGCCCTCTCTTTGTGAACCACTTCACCTGTTAGAAACCACCTGTCTGTTATTACGTCACCACGGAAACCTATTGTTACCTGTGAGGACACCGCAGGCCAGCCCTGATATTAAAACATTCACCGTGATCACCTGCACATGAACTCAACACAGCGACCGTCTCAACATTCAGACCTTTTGTCCCCAAATGTGGAGTGAGTCGCCACAGTGTGACCGCGAAAACAGGTTTGCCCCCACACAACGTCACCGACATCTCACACACACACACACACACACACACACACACACGCAATAACTGTAGGCTACAACTAAGCCATAAATATTTACATGCATACAAACACAAAAAAGGCACAGAAGGTACTGTTCACTCTCTCATCAGATATATTCAACAGATGATGTGAATTGGTGATTTTAAAACAAATCACTAATAACAGAGTGTCACTCTTCGTGTCACTTAGGATTAAAATTACTGATTATTTTCAAGATCAATTAAATAAATCTTCCAGTTATCTCCTCAATTAGTCAGTTAATGGTGAAAGTGGCATCTTGTTATGTTTGTCCAACTGTCCAAAACCCCAAATTAGTCACTTTACTCTCATATAAGACAAATAAAAAGCAGCAAATCCTCACATTTTATAAGAAGCAAACAAGGGAATGTTGATCAAATAATCAGCTCTAATGTCATTTACAGGCCTGAAAATCTAATATCAAAACTGTTTGCTTTGATAGAGAATGAAGAGTTCTGTTGTATTTGACTGAGTAATGATTTATTTGTGCACAAGTTCCTCTTCTTTTGTTTAGAGATCAGCAAGTGTTGAAAACCAGATTTCTCTCAGATCTGAATCAGAAATCAGTCATATGAGAGAGAGAGAGAGAGAGAGAGAGAGAGAGAGAGAGAGAGAGAGAGAGAGAGAGAGAGAGAGAGAGAGAGAGAGAGAGAGAGAGCACTGTATTTAACTGTGATCTCCTGTGATATCACTGCAGCCCTGTCTGTCACTGTCCATCATCAGGAGCCTGTAGCTGTGTTTGGTTTCCAGGATGAAGCTGGATTTAAATGCTATGGTCTTTTTTCGGAGAAAACTGAAAATGAAGGCAAAAGAGCCTGAACACACCCACTTTACTCCACCTACCTCCCCCCTCTCCTCCCCTCCTGGACAATTAGCAAATTAATGATGCCGGAAAATCTCCAATAAAGCGACAGACAGAATAAAAATGTCTGCATTTCCTGGCTTGATGCAACAGGATCTACAGCAGGATCTTTCCCCAGGCGCCCTGCCCTGAATATTTCACGTGTGTAACATTGATTGCAATCACAAATCAGATGACATAATAACAAATGATCCTTCATGTTACCTTCATGTCTCCTATGACAGTCTGGAAAAGCCCCCCCAGCGCGCTGCACTCCCTCTCCATCACTGTCTCCATCTTCAGCGGTGTGAACGGAAATTACAAACACTCTCACTCGGAGCTTCTGTAGTCCATAAATGAAGAGGCAGGAAACAAATGAATTCAAGGGGGGAAAGCGGCTCGGTGTCGGTAAAAACGCTCAGACTCGCGCTGCAGGGTTTTCCCGGCTGAAGGAGACCAGGACGCGGACAGAAGCAGCAGCACAGCCGGCGGTTAGTTTCCACTCAGCGCAGATAAATCCCATGTCTGCAGGAGGAGACGCATGTTGGAGCAGAGAGAAAACTGACAGACGGAAACAGCACGACGCCGCCGGAGAGGCTCAACTTTACACAGTGAGCCGCTCCACTGCCTCTACTGAAGGAGACGCGGCCCGGGAGCGCGCCTTCAGGGACATGAACGCGCGTCCGCTCGGCCCCGCCTGCAGGATATGGAAGCTTTTTGTTAATGGACTGAGAGGCTGAGACAAGGAATAACACCAGGGGAAATAAAATAATTGTTATGGACAGAGACAAATAAAGACACGTCAAAAACACAAAAGTCTTAAAATGGAATGTAAAAATGTAAGATAGAAAAATAAAATAGCCTAATGGTAAGATTAGGAATCTACAAGATAAGTCATGAAAATAAAATAAAGGAGTGAAAAAAACCTACCATCTATATTAAATGAAAAGACCACTTATGCTCATAGATGTCTTAAAGTAAATCAAATCATCAAATAACGGGAGGTTTAATGTAAAAATAGAAAGAAACATCATTTACAAAATTATTTAACTGACTTTCAACAATATTTTAAAAGCATCTAATGACAAACTCAGTTAACAAAATGCATAAATGGTGACTTGGGAATTAACTTTTCAATGGCCAATACAATCAGGATCAAATAAGGTACAGTTAGGATTTTTTCAGGATATTTTATATTTTCACAGGCTGAAATAGAAGGATTTAAATTATAAATCTAAGATTATTATCTAAGACTTTCTCTATGTTCACAAAAGGCCTGTTTCTCTCAAATATTGTGCACAAATCTGTCAAAATCTGTGTTAGTGAGCACTTCTCCTTTGATGAGATAATACATCCACCTCACAGGCGTGGCATAAGATGCTGATCAGACAGCATGGGTATTGCACAGGTGTGCCTTAGGCTGGCCACAATAAAAGGCCACTCGAAAATGTGCAGTTCCAAAAAATCCAAGAAAATGTGGCACTTTGGAGAGGTGTTCTCTTCACGAATGAATCCCGGTACTCACTGTACAGGGCTGATGGCAGACAGCGACACCAGATACTGACTGGTTTCCGGACCCCCCCAAGTGAAACTGCACATTTTCGAGTGGCATTTTATTATGGCCAGCCTAAGGCAAACCTGTGCAATCTCCATGCTGTCTGATCAGCATCTTGATATGCCACACCTGTGAGGTGGGTGGATTATCTCGGCAAAGGAGAAGTGCTCACTAACACAGATTTTGACAAATCTGTGAACAATATTTGAGAGAAACAGGCCTTTTTTGTACATAAATAAAGTGAACAAAAAACAAAATGTTAGAATCAGTCTGACCGCTCAGATATTTTGATAGATATATTTTGAACTATATCGCCACCTAGTGAGTATTTCACTGAACTGTCTGGAAAAGATCACAAAGTTGAGGATGAGGCATAAGGAGGAGAGGAGGAAGATAAAAAATGTCAATGTGGAGAGGACAGGCTTCTGTTCCTTTGCACATAACGTGTTAAGGGTCAAATCTGTGATAAGAGGACATCGCCTGATCTCTCCATCATGTGGTTTTAATTCCAGTGTGACACATGCAGATGAGTATACAGCCCACAGCTTGTGGAGAAAGACAGTAGAATCATTCATTTCATAAGTAGCACAAAGTGTAAAAGATGTAAATCATGACCTGGTAACAGTTGCTGCCTCAGTCAGGGAGGACTTTGGAACGATTGTAAAAGCAGCTCATTCCCTGTGATATCAGGATTAGATTAGATTTTAGAGTTACATCTATTACACACACATTTGTTACTTTTACTCATCTGCAGAGGCCACATTTGACCTCTTCATAACACACTGTGTTTTTATTTCACATTCATCTTTCACAATTTGGACATTTGAAACTAAAATTACTGTTTTGCTTTGCATCTTTCTCTTTTCCAAGCCAAACATACTCATGTCAAGTTGATTTAATGTGTCTGACATTTACTTTTGAGGCTTCTCTCGACTTACCAAGCCAAGGTTTTTATTTCTTAAATAGAGATTTGATCAATAAGAAAATATCTTATTTACCCTTCTAAATGTTTTGCTGCCTGTCTCATTGTGATAGTTTGCCCATGAGCTTCTGAATTCATGTGAACTTCACCATGAATTCTCAATGCTGACCTTCATGTAAGTCGGAGGACACCTAGTGGAAAAACTCAGTCAGTGAGCCTCTAGTTATATCCTGAGGAAAACAGTCCATGTGTGTTTCCATTCATGCCAAAGACCTTGACAGTGTGCCTCTCATGCACAGTCACCCACATGTGCACTGCACACTCTGGCCTTGCCAGAAGGAGAAACTGGGCTTCATTTTCTTTCTCAAGGACACTTCAGCACTTTAAATTTACTCTTTGGGTAATCTTTGTTGTGACTTCATTAAAAAATATCTGAGAACAAACATCTGAAATGGGAAATTTACCCTAAAAGCAATGGTCACACATTACATATGTGGTCTTTCTTATATTTAGCAGGAAGCAAGCGACTCTGTTTAAGACAGTCCAAATGAGCCACTGACAAACAGATTGAGATTAATAATCCCACTACAATGTGATACGCTCATTAATCCCATCAAACCCCAAAAAATGTCCCCTCAGCTTTCTGTTGATGTGTTAGTGGAGAATAAATTGCAAAATGCTGTTGTTGTTTCTGCCAAGGAGATTATGTGTTTGGCTCTTGATTTCATTGGTTAGTACAACATCTCAAATATTTGAATTTAGCAACATTTCTGGAAAGTTTAAACACAAACCAAGGGGTCTTTCTACCACTGTGGTGATAATGAAATTTGACCATTAAAAATGTAACTAGCAGCTGGGTAGAAGAAATTCAAAATTATTCCAAGAAAACTACAGGATACTGCTCTTCGCAGTGAATTTTGATGCCGATTGGAATCCAGATGTAGGTTACAAATCTCTAACATATGTAGAAGCCTGTTCTGGTGCTTTGTAGTTTCACCAGGAGATATCACATCAAATCAAAGAAACAAGATGCTCCTAAAATACTGTTCCACTGAGACATTGGTGTCCTTCTACAGCACTGGTGGACAACCATGTGCAAGAGAATTTCCACTACAGAGGCTGAGGGGGAAAGCCTGCAGACATTTGGCCCTAAAATTAAGATTTGCAGGTTGTTTGTTGGAGAAAGATCTGGGATCAGATGGTAAAGCTGGCAGAGCTTCAAACTGCCAAAGATGTGTCATTTTAACCACACAGACTCGCTGCTTAATAACAGGGAGAAACACACACACACACACTGATAGTCAGTGCACAAAAAGCGGCGCTCTGTGTTATTATCTCCCCCAAACAGAAGACCAAACTAATAACAGCTATCAGAGAGAGAAGGGGAGAGGGGGAAACGGGGAGAAAAAAGAGAGAGAGAAGAGGTGGGAGGAAAGTGAAAAGACGAGGAGCTGGAGGCTCATGATTCACAGTAATTTGAGTTCAGAAAGTATTTTATGATTCCCATCATGAGGATTATGACTCTGCAAGTCATTTTTATAATCAGTTACATTCACTTCAGACACAAAAACCAACATGCACTTGAAACATGAAGAAACATTGCATTCATTGAGAGACATCGGCGCACACTGTAGTCTGAAGGGATCATTAAAGAGTCTTCAGAGTGATAATAAGCTCCTGATCAGACAGCCTCTAATGCTGTCTGAGGTGTGACATCTGATGTGACATCATTGGTAGAGGTGTGGCTTGAAGTTGTGGCTCATTGTAATGAAAGTCAGGAGGAGAAAAGGAGGTTAAACAAAGAAGAATATATGTGAAACAAAGCGACATGGTATGCAAAATTGATTGCTGTGATGTAAAGTACAATTTGTAGCAATCGGTTAAAACATGCTAAAAGTATGTTCTTCAAAATATGAAGTCTGGGCGTTTGGGTCACACTAGGCCCACATGTCATTTTTGAACTATTAAATACAAACTCTCCTTCTTATGGTTCCTTTCTCGGCAGTGCCTCTACAGGACAGGTGAGGTACAGGAGACAGGAGTGTACTGCCATCCTAAAGACTCAGGCTGCATGTTGGCACCGCTGGGCTTTGTGATAAATGCTTAGATCAGCGTTGCTCAGAAAAAAGAAAATGCTAACATGCAGATGTTTAGCGGGTATACCTTAGATTAGCATGTTCGTATTGTAACGTTTGCCAATTAGCACTAGTTGATTTGAATGCTCTTTGATGACTGATAAACTTCTGAATGTTTCTTTTCAAAGAGATTTCTTCTAAAAAAGGGGGATCTTAGACTGTCTGCTTTGGATTTAAATCCAAGCAAGTACAACGGCAGCTGACTTCTCTTAATTCAATTCAAAACCCCAACTGTGGCAATGTTGGCACACAACTCCACTGACTTTCAATCTTACACAAACCAAGAGCAACAGTGTGGAAAGCATTTAGAATGTAAAACATCTTGCGTAAACAGAAAGCGACCTCAATGACCATGATAACAAGAAGCTGAACCACGGCTCTGAGTTCAGACCATGGCAGAGCTTCGGCAGACTCACTCGTGACTCTGGATGCCTGTCCTCTGTAATTTCCCTGAGATCAGCCACCTGCTTGGCAAACTGCCCGTCTCCAGTTGGTCTTTGTCCCAGTTATTTTTCTGCAGCTGGGTAAGAACAATGAAAGTACCATGTTTTTCTGTTCTTGAGGTGAAAGTGATTGTTCACACTTTAATCAAGCTTTGTTCTTTGGAACTTTGAGACTAGAAGTTATATAAGGTACATAAGAACTGTCAACATTTCAATGTTTAGTTCCAATGCCAGACGCATGCTTTGTGTGATTTACTAGATCATCCAGAGCCCATGGACTATGGCAGACAAAGGACACTGTGACATGTTTAATGCTCAATATAACATCAGGTATTTGGTTTACAGCATGTTCAAAGACATCACAATATTGTGTCCTGAGACTACAGCATTGGCACGCAACACTAAATGTAAAATTTAAATGATGTCCGTATGTAGGAGTGAAGTACTATCCTTTCAGTATTTACTACTCTACACAGTGTCAGGTGATTCAGGTCTTATGAATTTCCTAATGCAGTGTTTAGATATGTTTAAATATAACATTGCAGGTGGCCTGCTAGTACTATTGGCAGACTCCTATCATGTTATGAGAAGAAAGACAGCAAACAAAGATTTAATAGATTTTTATTTACCATCATTCATGTAACTGATTTCACAATAATGTCATGCAAACACTGTTTCATATATTAACACATTACAAAGAAGCAGCATGCCATGCAGTCATGAAAACAACAACTAGATATTCTCTTAATCTTTTAACTCAAAGCTATATTTAAATCATGAATGCATTAATCCAGATTTAATACACATTAATTAGACCTCCGCTAGGTGTTTTAATAGAGAAAAATATATAATATTATGGAAATGTACTGTGTTTCTATTAAAGAGCATAAAATATCTAGATACATTGACCAAACTGAGAGCCAGTAAGGGAGGACTCACACTTCCAGAAATTAGGATGGGAGAAGGAATGAGTCAGGTCGGAGGAAAGAGAAGAAAGGAAGTAAAAGATGCACATAAAAATTGAAAAGTCTAAATTAGGAGTGGCAGCAAATGAAGAGAGAAGGAAAAAACATTGTTGTGAGGCTCTGTTAGCTGAGCTTGAGGCCGAGGCAGAGAGCCAGCTCGTTCTTCTGGATCTTTCCATCTCCGTTGATGTCACAGTGACCCATCAGGGCTTTCCTGAACTTGTCCAGGTCTGTGCCACTGATGCTGGGCTGGAGGAGCGGGTTGGGGTTTGGAGAGTTAACAGAGAGGTCAGAGGTCAATGACTGCGTTACTCCTGGTGGGTAAAAATGTCTACCGGTGAAAGGACAGGGGCAGCAAAGGGACTGCTTCTGTTTAAGGCAAAATTTCTTCGAAGGTTATTCTGAGCAGGTACAGAATTTTACAGCAGAGCTTGTGATACTATTGTAAAACATAAATAAAATAAAACAAAGGCTGGGTCTCAAATGTCTGTCTGTGCAAAGCAATGTTTTAAGAAAATGAAAACTATCAGTTACTGTATTGTAAGGGCACACATAGTACATTCAGCATAATCCCACAGCATTTATTTTACTGTCATTATTTTAGATAAATAGTTCGAAATTTTGGTTGCCGCTGGTTCCTCAGTGTGACGTCAGTGCCCAAGGAAGTAACAGCAACTGGCTGCTGAAATGGTTCCAGCGTGCAACTCTGCATAAAACCAAAGCTTACATTTCTGTTTGTGTGCAGATTAAACAAATGAAACACATGTTAATTGTGTTTGGAGGTGTATTTTTGAAGTTTGGGCAAAGCTAGTCCCCCCCCCCCCTGCAACCAGTGCTTATGCTAAGCTAAGCTAGTTGTCTCCTGGATGTAGCTTCATGGTATTAATCTCTTGGCATGAAGGCGAATAAGCTTTTTTAATGTTACTGTGGTCAGGAAGGAGTGTGGTTCATTATCAGAGCAGAAAGACACTGACTGATGTGTATGGTTAAAATGTGTTTACCTTCACCAGCTCCATCATGTCCTTGACAAATCCATCCACTTCAGGGCCCTCCAACTCACCTGTCTTACTCTGCACACACACACACACACACACACACACACACACTGTATAATTATCTGGAGATGTGGAAAACAAAACTAATCGTGCCTTTACTTAAATTAGTAATTTGTAAAACCCATTTGTCGTTTTGTTGTGTCAGGTGAGATTTACTTTCCAAAGCATGGTGAACAAAAGTTAGCTTCTCTTTTGGAGCTTCATTGTAAGTCACAAACAGCAGGCGATATTCAAGGGTTATTTTAGTTTGAAGTTTGTATGACCTGGATGATCAGGACCTCCCTGCTCACTCTGGTCAGACAGTAAACAAGAACAAAAACAAGCTAAAATCTAAATTCAGACTTACAACATCATAGTGAGCAAATATCTTCTCAAAGTCTCTCTTCCTGTCCTCTTGACTGCAAGCCTGACACCAAATAATGAGACAGTAAATATTTACACAAAACATCAGGGACGTCTACTGTTGACATGAAACTAGTGAACACATGTACACCACTGGGGTCAAAAAGAGAGAGATTTAGGCAAAGTTGCAGGGTTTTCAGCAAAATTCAACTAAAGTTTAAAATATAAATAGAACATCTCAATAAACTCAAATCTACAAACTTACATCCATCTTAAACTTCAGTAAGAAGTTCTCCTTCAGGGCCAAGATTCTTGAGACAACAAGAAAGACAGAATCAATCAATTACCAGATTGTTGACTGCATCTTTAAATAAAACTTTCACTGTTAGTGAAGTCAGAAGATCAGGTATGATTCTTTTTTTGTTTAAAATCTTATGACCACACATCAACAGTACCTGGCCAGGTCGTTTAAGTCCAGTCTGCCATCTCTATTCTTGTCAAACATCTTCATCTGCGGGGAAAACAAGTCAGAGTGGACTTAATAGTCGATGACAAGTAAATGTCAGCAGGGCTAATATCTGAACAGCATGGCCCTCTCCCCCCCCCCCCTGTTACCATGGTGTCAGTGTACTCCTCCAGTTTGTCAGGGGTGATGGACTTCTTGTGTTGGAGGAAGAGGTCCTGAAGGAAGCCCTGAAGGGACAAAGAGAAACAACAGTGAGTCACTGTTTGACAAAAGTCTAAAGTACGACAACATCAAGTGGAAACGGAAAGCTAATTTTAACATATATTTAACATATCAATATTTGAGATGTTTACCACATTGACACAAATCACAACATAATAATGACGCTAATAGCAGGTTTATAGGCAGCAGGTGTGCCGGCCTGCAGGTTGCCTTCACACCAGCCTCTGGTGCTTTCTGGTGCTGTCCAACCTCCACTAGTTCCTGCTTGTGAACTACGGGCAAATCCATCTAACCTTTAGCCTCTAGACTTTATGAAGAGGCAGTTTTATGACGTCACAAAATAGCAGCACTCATAGAAGCACATATTGTAAATGGTGAACCATCAATTGAAAGGCAGCATAATGTATATTTTTCTGTATTTTATTAAAATAATACATTCTATCAGATAGTAAAAGCTGTTCTGTATGTAAATTGAAGTGAATATATGTCGCCAATATTGTCAGGTAGTTGGTTACGGTACACAATCTCTGCAACAAACGTTCTTCAGGAAAATGTCTAACAATATAAAAACATTAGGAAATATACAGCATTTACTTGAAAATTACCATCTGTAGCCAGATAGGAACGCAGTTAACAAGTAACACTTATTTACTGTAAAACTTTAATTAAAAGTCTAGTCCCAATCAGAAGCTGTGGCTATATGTTTTGACAAATAAACACAGGTCTCAATTGGAAGCCTGGTCTTGTTTTTTTAGATGGTTTTGGGTTTATAAAACCTCTTGAAGCCCACCTGGTCACCTGCTTGTGTTAGTTCTAAGCTGCTTAGATTGAGCATGCCAAATAGATTCTTAAACTTTTGTCAATAGACATGCTACACATCTTATATTGGTTAGATTCTCCACATTTCAATCAAATAATAAATTTTAAAAAACCTGGGCTATTAATTGGGCTAAAAGTTTTATGGTATGCCCCTCATTTTCATTAAAACGGCTCTTTTAATTAACACCAAGGACACTGCTGAGGGTTTACTTGTGTGTACACTTCACAAAGAAACATCAGTTTGTCACGGTCAGCCAAGTTTCTCTATCACGTTTGGTGTTATGCACCTCAGACGCTTTGAGATGAGAAGCTGGAAAATCCCACTGGGAAATTTCGACCTCCCTGCATGCTGCTGAGACTCTTGGTCTGTACACTTGTGGCTCTGGTTGAGAGGCTGGAAAGAGGTAACTGACTGTCACCTGGTGCAAGGCAAAGTTTATTTTAGTTTAGGTCTAATAGTCTTCTTTTTGTTTGGTGTTGTCATTTTAGCCTTGATTTTACACACATAGGATGGGGTTTTAATTCTTTTTTTGTAGAACTGCACCTGGTGGCGGCCTTTCAGACGCAGGTGTGGTTGCTGTGCTGAGGGTCCACTCGCTTTTGATGGTGATTATGGTTTGTAGTTAGTTTTGTTTTTATTTGAAGTGTGGATTTTGGATGTTTTATCTTCTTCACAGGTAGAATATTCCCAGTGGGTGGTTGGCTTCCCAGGCTGTGTCTTCTCCTCAATTTCCTTTCTTTAATTGCATTAAATTTATGTTCTTAACAAATAGCCAGCTATGCCAGTTAACCTACACTGGGGTCTTTATTGAAGCCCTTGTGTCTCTATTCAACTGTTAATTCCAGGTATTTACCACTCCTACGAGTTATATAATGTTCCACCAATAAGCTGATTGATTCCTTTTTCCAGCATTTGTAGAAATGATGCATGAAATGTTTCACCCGCTTACTGAAAACTCAGTTTTGTTTTTGAAATCAAATACATTATTTCTATCATTAAAATGTTACATTAAATTTACATCAGATTTCTTGACAAATGGAAAAATGGTCTGCAACAGTCCTGCTAGTTTAAAAGTTCAGGCAATGCAACAATAGTCATCAAATGGCAGAAATTCAAGGTCCAGATCACCACTGTGATCCAATCAGTTATTCTCCAGAGGACCAGGACCAAACATCCTCTTAACCACACAATGAATTAATGTTTCTTTGATGTAAGGGTCTGCTACAGTGCACATCTAAACTCTGTTACCTTGAGCTCAATCGCTGAGATGTAGCCGCTGCTGTCTGTGTCATAGTTTCTCCAGATCTACACAAGAAAGACATAAAAAAAATCACTGAAAACTAAATAAATATTACAAGTTTGAGTAGTCAATGCAGTGTTTAATATAACCTTCAATATATAATTCATGAATACACCAACAATGTTCCTCCTTTTCTGATCTCTTTAGAGCATAATGTTTGTTCTGCAGGCGATGCTAACAGACAGACAGAGTCCACACTGGAAAAATGTAATGCACAGTACTCAATCAAGTCAACAGTGTGCCAATTAGATCAAAAGTTAACCAAAATCATTAGAAATCCTGCTCTGGAGGCGCATATTCACAGCAAATTTCATGAAAATCCAGCCACCTTTTGAAGCTTGACCGACTAAAGTCCAATTAAAGGTATAACTAATTAGTATACTGGCGGTCATAATGGCATACAGAATAAATCCCAATCCTGTAAAGTACTGTTAGTAAACATCATGTCTTCTTTGGGTTTTATACTCCCTCTGCATCTTTTGTTGACCTTTGACCCTCACCCTCATGAACTCCACGCTGTTGTCCAGCGGCGTCTCTCTGCGGAACAGAAGCAGGAAGTTCTCCTCCTCTGGCAGCATCATGGTGGCCAGCTGGAAAAATTATTTTTACATCCATGTTGAAGACACTGTCGCCATATTTCCCCCATGAAACATCAATGTTAATTGACATCCAGTTCGTCATCAACTCAGTGAAGATGTTTAAAGTTTGCACTTTAATATAGCTTGGTGTCAAATGTTGTGTTGTATGTACAATAAGATTTTCCTGCTCCTAAAAATGAACATATTCAAACTGCAGGAGCGAATACGAATGTTAATCTACACCAACAACTGAACCATCACCTCATCTCATCATCCCAAGACTTTCTGACCTGAACTCGCAGGCTGAAAGTATCTGTAGGCTAAAACACAGAAACAGCTCAGAGGATAAGATAACTTTACCTCTTCTATCTGCAGACGTCCGTCAGCTGCGATGTCATAAGCAGACATGAACCTTTCTTTCAGTCTTCTGATTGTGTCCTCAGTTATCTCCTCCCTCTGAAAACAACATGGACTTCAGCTGTCACTTTAATTTAATGGTGATTTCCTACATACTTAGGAAGCGTGTCATTTGTTTACACTTTAAAAACAGAATGATGAATGGATGTGTCCGTGTATTTTAATACTTTGTGAGGCGTAAACACAATATTTTAAAGCCACTCTGTGTATATTTTGATTTTTTCTGACTTAAGTGCCCCCTGGTGGTAGTATTCAATAAAACAGTGTGGCACATTGATATAATGTACAGTCCCTCCAGGATTTTGCAATGTTGCGTTCGCTACTATTAACACAAACTCAACAAATCCTCGTAAATTCAGCGCGACTTGTAATTTTGACGCAACTTTTCTGCAAATTTGACCTATCATCGCCAAAATGTTGTCACATGTCAGCAAACGCACTTCCTTGTTTACAAGGTGCAGCAGACATGTGACACCAACATCTCACATTCAAAAAGGTATCCAGATCATCTTTACCAAAGCGGGGGTTGCCAAAAGTGCAGTATTATGGTTAAACACGACTGCAAAACATGCCAGGAGAATAGCAGAAGCACATGGAGGACGTCAGATGAGACAAATCACTGTGACACATGCTGCTGTATCCTGGTCAACTGCAGGCACTTTAATAATCAAGGTAAGTGTGGTAAGGGTCAGGGTTAAGTCCGCAAAATCCTGGAGGGACTGTTTAAGGATTCAACTATAATTCCAAAGTCAAAAAATGTTAGCAATTTTCAATTTCATCGCAAAAAACGCTGCAAAATGTCAAAATTTTTCTTCTTCTTTTAGAAAAACCTGCTGCAAAATCAGGCATTTTAGACTGCAACAATGACTAAAAAGACCTGCGAAATCCTGGAAGGACTAAATGTAGATCTTTTAGAGGACACTTAAAAAATTAAAGAGCTGAAAATTTATTTTTCTACAAACAGAAACTTGCCAAGAAAATAACTTGAAAGATACTCGGGTCACATAAAAGTGGAAAATGAAAAATTAAGAAGCTGAAGTGAACTGACTGTATTTCATAATTTCATGAAGTGGCTGGGGAGAGATAAACGTCAAGCGCAGCCTCTATCCTTTATCTCTTTACCTTGATCCCAAATTTTCCCAGCATATGTTGAAAGAAGGCATCCAGCTCCTTTCCTTCGATGTAACCGTTATCTAAAAACACAACCAGGCATCTTGTCAAATCAACTGGATACTGTGGCTTACCAGAATATAGAGGAGGAGAAATTCTTATACTTTCATTTTTTGTGAAATAACCTCTAAGTGTTTAGTAAAATTTTGTGTGGATTCACAGATGACAGTTAGCCTTATAAATCAAGCTGTGAAATGTTTTAGTAATAGTAACTTTCATTATCCTACGCCAGATGTTTTGCTTCCTGCTAGCGGGTGAAGCTAGCAAAGTAGCAAGCGAACATGCAACAATATGAACCCACTCCAGCTGGATGGTTGAGTTTTTAACTGATTGCCTCAGTTAGTGTCAGTGGTGGAAGAAGTACTCGTAGCTTTTACTGAAGTAAAAGTATCAGAAAATGCTCTGTTAGAAGTAAAGGTTCTGCATTCACATTTTTACAAGTGACATGCAAAAGTATTAGCATCAGAATAGTAGTACCAAAAGTAAAAGTACTCATTTTAGCAGAATGGCCTACACATAATGTGTCACTTGATTATAATTACTGATGCCCTTGGTATTCATTACTTTAATGTTGCAGATGATGAAGGTGGAAATAATTTGAATTACTTTATAATGTAGCTTTTTTGAATCCCCCCAAATTCTTATCCTAACCTATAAAAAAACACAATATATTTGTTTATTATATTTTGGAAGTAATCTGAATCTGCTACTAACTAGTGACGAAAGTACAATATTTTCATCTGAAATGTAGTGGAGTGGGATTGTAAAGCAAACCTGTATTGAATACAGTACTTATGTAAATGTATGTAATGTTACTTTTCACCACTGGTTACCTTCAAGTAAATGTTTTTTTAGCATTCGCTGTTGATTAATTAATTGTCTTGTTCTACTCTTGATTACATTAACATGAACATTGACCTTTGTGTCTGGCTCCAAAGAGTATAATTATCCGAACATAATGGGAACTGTTTACCCACCATGAAGACTTTAAAATGCCTTGATTGTTTCTCTCACACCACTTATCTCAGTGTTTCATAAATCACAGTTTGTCACAAAATTGGAAGTGCTCGACTTTAGTACTTCAACTTCTGAGGGAGATCTTGTAATATAATCAAACAACTTCACAACAGCTTTTGACCTTGTGGTGAGATTGTTTTGTCGACCACTTAATCTCCTCAGTTTATACTTGCTTTGCAAATGTGCAGGACTGGCTGCTAAAATCATCATGATTAAACCCTTTAACAATCACTGTAGGGCAGAATAAAGAGCATTCAGGGCATGAGTTTGATCGACTGAGGAAAGACTTTTTTGCTCCTACCCATTATATTTACCTATGCCATAGACATTCCTCCTTAGATTAAATATTTATTTTAGGGGGATGGGGTGGTGTACAGAGCAGCTTCCATCCCACCTCCACACATACAGTCCAGTGAACACCCATTAGGAACAACATTCAGGGTCTTGTTTGAGGGACTGAACCACCAAACCCTCTGACTAATGGTCAGCTGTCTTTACCACTGTAGCTGCAGCTGTACCTGCACTTCACATGGAACATTTCCTGCTTTTTTATTCTAAAAAGTTACAGGATTGCAAATAATCAAATCAGGCTGGGCGGTACTTCTTTATTACAAGTGGTATTTTTCCCCCGATCTTCGACTTTGGAAATTCTTTATTGTTAAATATTAACTGTGAAATTATTTTGTGTTCTACAGAGACATGGGATCAAGTAGGAAAATGTTGCAAAATGTCGCACATAAGGTTGATAATTTCATTTGAAAAGTGTTGAACTACAGTGTAGGTTTCTGCTGTGATGTATAAACCTGCATTTAAATTGATGATTGTCTACTGATGTCATGAAATTTAAGACACAGTATTAGTTATACCATCAGTTAAATAAATATCTTCTCTGAACTCATATTCATTACCTGCTTGTACATTTGTGACACATTTAAAGGTTTATTAAATCCCTTAATTTACTCAGTCTATATACTGGAGCTACTAAATAAACTTTTCTCTTCTTACCATCTACGTCGAAATGTTGCCAGATCTGTAAGAAACCTGCAGCGTCTAGGCTGTCCAAGGCACTGTCCATGGTGCTGAAGACCAGTCCAGAGATCCTTTGACAACAAACCAAAGGGAAAACAACAAAGGGAAGAACTACTTCCAGAGATGTTCAGTAGGTTCTCAGCGAGAGAGAGACGATCGGTTATCCACTGAACTAAAATCTATTCTGATTTCACCTTCAGGCGTCTCCTGAATTCAGCAAAATGAGACTGAAGAGGGATTCAACAGCTTGTATATGAAGAGAGAGAGAGAGAGAGAGAGAGAGAGAGAGAGAGAGAGAGAGAGAGAAAGGGAGAGAGTCTGAACAGTAAATCAGAATTTATTGGTATAAACATACAAATACAGAAATATGATGTCACATTTCTAGGCTTGTAGGTCCACTAGCATGTAAACAATAAACACATTATTTATAAAAGATTTTTTTTAAAAGCTGAATTTTTCAAAATGAATGACAAAAATATTTTCCCATAAAATGAAAACCATCACCATGTATCATAAATGGAAATCCATGCAGATTCAACAGCATGTTTCGCTGATCATAATACAGCATAAAAAGGATATAAACCCCATTTATCTTATAAACAGAACCCACAGGAATGTTAGTACATATTTACATATTTACACGGATACATATTGCATGGGTAAGTGCAGCAGTACATGAGTAATAGAAATCAGTATGTAATAAGCCGTGTGTAAAGGTGAGGATACAGCAGCAGTGTTGAGAGCAGAGTTAGATGTTAAATATGAATCTGAGGAAATAGGAACTGACTTATGTTGAAAAGTGTGGAAAGAAAACCACAGTATTTTTATTGCAAAGAAATAATTTAATTGATTAAATTACATCTCAGTGGGTGGAGCCACAATGGAAATGCTTCTTTTTGTCTCCACCCACTGAGGTTTCTGCAGTGTGCACATCACGGATGGACTGTAGCTACGGGAAGGTTGCGGAGTTGGACCTGTAAGATTTAAAAATACAGTACTCCGACAATAAAGCAACATATCCATTAAATTAGGTCTAAATGAAGGACATTTGCTGGCGCTGAACGGCACCGATGAGGATATATCGGAACAGAGCTGTTCTGTTGTGGATGTTGACATGAACGGTATTTACAAGTTCAAATGACAAGAACACAACATTTAACTTAAGCTAGTTTTTTTGTTTGTTTTGTTTTTAAATCGGCAGTTCTGATTCTACACTGCAGAAATCTTGATTTTACTTTATTTCAACAACTGAGTAGTTCTAGTGATCCTCCGTCAAGAAATTTGTAGAATTTGTAACAACAATCTTATTCTGTCTTCAAGAAACGTAACAAGACTCATTTCAACAACCAGAATTAAGATTATCTGTAACAGGAACAAGAGGAATAATCTTAACTTGTAGGAAAAAATGTTTGGTTGTTTCAAGAGGTTAAAACGTTTGAGGGGAGAATTCAGATTAAGCATTTTTTACAGTGTAAGAAATTTCTGTAGAACTGAAACTAAAATGTGTTCTTGATTTTGGAAATAGTAGTTTGACAAAATAATGTTAAATCAAGGTCCACTTACTAGCCTTTTCCAGAGCTTTCAACCATACGTATATGAGTATACACAGTATATTAGGTTGAGATGTAATTGAAAGCTGCAGAAAAAGCAGATGACTTGAATGTTACAAAATCAACCCTGCAAAACCCAGGCAAGCAATATCAACAACAAAAAACTATTTGCTTTATATTTAATAAAATTAAAAGATATGACAGTATTATATATGGATTTTTTTTATACATACAGCCAATTCCAATGCACGGTCAAGGTAACATTTCCCATCACCTGTTTCCTAGAAATGTATTAAAACCTTCAGAAGTTTTAAGGTCGCCATCATTAGCAGTCACAGACACTATTATTATTATTATTATTAACATAAAAATTTGGTAAAACAAAGATCCGACTCGTTTGTTTCAGCTTGAATCAGTCTTTACGTTCACTCTGGCCACAGCAGCAGAGAGCTTGAACTCTCTTGGGTTTGTAACACTTTCTTGTTCCTCAATGTCTTTGGCATTTTTAAATTTGAGGATAAGTTTACTTTTTATGACAAGGAGTGAATGAATAAAAAAGACTTGGAAAAGACTTCGGAAGTTGTTTATATTTATAGTCATATCTCCAGAGGACACGCTGGGAGACGTCACTTATCAGCTATAGTTCACCTGCAGAACAGTAATACAGTAAAATCAATCTGCTTCAATCTGGACCTACTGAGACAGTCAGACTCATTCTCCTCAGTGCTTTGGACTAACTGAGCTTTTTATAGCTGGACCTTGTTATCTAAGCAACTCCAGATTGTCTCTGCACCAGATAAAATCCATCTGGTCTGCTCTTTATGGTCCTATTAGAGCTGTTGACAGAGACGGTAATGGAGCTGTTTTGGCGTCCATATGGCCAACAGCTGGGACTCATCCAGAAAGCTCCACTGGTCACAACATGACACGTGAATAACACTTAACAGTGTTCCCTCCACTTACATGTGCCTCACCAGGAATAGTGGAAAAAAAAAAAAAAGATAGAAATTACACTGTCCCTGCTTTTGAACGTATGTATGTGATTGACCTTAAAGCTCGTCTGGTGTAGAGTATAGTGGAGAATGATTTGAGAGACTGTAAACATCTGGTATCAGACGGACGGAGTGTCGTCGGACTCATCCTCGGATTTGTTGTCAGACTTGATATCAGCGGCCAGAGATGTAATCTTCTCCTCAGCTGGACTGAGATCTGTGTCTGCCTGAGGCAGAGGCTTCACTGAAGAGAGAGAGAGAGCGAAAATACAGATGGAGAAAGTCAATAAGGGAAACAGGTGGACTAAAACAATGAAAGATGTTTTCTTGTCTAACTAGGAAATTAAAGTAAGACCATCAAAGGAAAAGTAATGCAAGACCCTTACAATAACAACAGTAAAAGTTGGACTTTAATTATGAACAGTAATATTGGATTAATATAAACAATGAACACTTCAAATCCTGGAAACAGGAACCTCAAAACTAATGTTTGATCTAGAAACGGAAAACTACTGGTAGACAGACAGACAGACAGAACTAGGAAAGTAAAGTTAGACCTACAAAATAGGAAAACTAATGCAGTATACAACTCACACATAAACCCTTAAACTAGGCAAACAATAAAGATCTGGAAAAAGAACAAGATTCAATTAAACTCTAGACTCTAGGAGAAGTAAATTTAGTTTTGGACAGCTGTGGACTCTCTTTCTTTGCCTCTACGTAATGCATACTTAAACAATAGGATGAGTTTCTCCTTTTTATTAGACACATAAGGCACTTTAATAGTGCCTAAAGCATTTTACACTGTAAAAATATTCACAGAAGGCTGAAACCAGCTCTTTTGAAGTTTAACTAAAGCACATCCCCTTTAAAAAAGGATCTGTTGCCTTCAACTCAAACATTAGCGGAGATTCCAGACAGGACACCGAAAGTATATTTTTGCCACCTAACTGTAACTGGAAGACTGTAACATCCAAAGTATATATTTTATGAACTAGGAAAATGCATGAGACACGCGGAGACTGAAACAGGATGTATTAGATGGACACAACTATGGTTAGCCTAACCGTAGGCGGGGAGGGACTTGGTTCGCTCTCGGTCGTCCCCCTTCACAGTAAGAGGACTGGCTGATCTCTTTAGAGACGACCACTGTCTGCCACCGGCACCAGGTTCAGCCTCTGCACTGGGCGGCTCGAACGCATCACCATCCAACTCAACTGCATGCAAAGAAAAAATAAAAACATTATTAAGAATACGCTCAGTTTGCCTGACTGAGTAATTTGTTCCCTTTTGTGGACCTGGGATTAACGGACACTGACAGAAAGTAATAAATCTAAATCACACAAAACAATACATCTATTAGAATACATGCAATGTTCAGGTTATAATGCAACATGGGTGCTAAAATAGACCATAAATGTATGATTCCTACTCTTTTAGACTGAAGGAGAGAGAATAAATTTCTGTTTCTGTTTTTAAAATGAGGTACGTTAGTTTAAAGGTCTGGATCCTCTGACTTTTCATGATAAACTTAATCTTATTATTGTGGCCAAATTTATACAAATCAGTTTGGAAATATACTCTTGATCTATATTTTCTTGTGCTCTTGTTTGAATGTTCATCTTCAATTTTGTTTTTTTGTTTTTTTCGTTCAAAACTATTAAGTAGGATGAAACACCAAGCCAGAATCCATGCTGTCATACTGAAAAACAAAGATTTTTCACAATGTTTTACAATAAACTTTCCTTTTCTGTTGCAGATGTGACCATGTAACTGCAGTGCCTTAGAGCAAAGGACATTCTTAACAATTTGTTAACTCAAATACACATCGTCACAGCTCATCAGCAGTGAGTGTATAATAAAAGACTCTTAAAATGCGTAAATGACCTTTTCTCCTCGTCTCTTTGATTTTAAAAACACATATCGTCTTGCACAACAAAAGACGACTTGTCTTTTTGATTACATAGAAGAAATGCTGTTTTAAGGAAAAATACAGAGTTCCTGTAAGAGTTAATTACACAAGTCGAGTGTTAAAACTACAAAATCACACACACACACACTGACACTTGGACATGTCAAGTACAGGCTAGGACCTTTGCTTCAGATGTACTGTGTGTGGTGTGTGGAGGCGTCAAATATGGCCTTGGAAGCATTCATTAAACAAGTTGTCACCTGTTAAATTGAGTGTTGTATTTTCAGCTATGCTCCGGCTAACACAGAGCACTGAGTCATGCAACCTTCATCATCATTCATTAAGAAAAAAAACCTATAAGAGGGAAATATCCCAGCAACCAAGGCTATTATCTTCTCACTAGTTTAAATATCCTCCTTTCAGTGTTTGTGGACTCTGCAGATGCATTATTTCTTTCAGTTTTCGCCCTATACCGTTTTGTGGACGTGAAAAAAAAAAAAATACACAGAGTGAAAAACATATTACAGAAACATTTTATTCTCAATAAAATGCTGGCATGTGGCAAAATAAAGAAATAATTAATATTTGTGTCAAGGATTGTTACAGACATGAACAGTGTTTACTTTTCACTGTGGTTAATGTTTTTGAATAAATGAAGGAATATCTTTGATAGGCCCAAAAATGATGGCTGCCAGCAACCATTTTGCGTTGTTGGGATTGATACATGCTTAACATTTTCTTGTGATTCTGAACATTTTTTCCCCAATTATTGTCT